ATCCACAGAAGCTGATGTAACCTGAAACAAAGAAAGAGCAATTAAATAAATAGATTACACTAACTACTAGACAACAATCTAATAGCAACAAGGGACGCTAACTTTTTTGGTTACAGTTTTTAAGTTGGCAAAAGTAATAGGCGTTAATCTTAAGATTACAGAGAATAATGTTACTATAGACTATTTTCATCGGAATAGCCTTGAATCTGTCACTTGAATCGATGACAGAATAGAGTGCTTTTTTTGTCGCATTCAATCACGTCACGGGTACTCTGCTTCACACTAGTATACAGTCCAAAAGAGTTCGTTTATTAAGCTTGTTTGATGGCTCTATTGTCTAGGAGTTGAAACGCGTCCAGAGCGATCAGCTGATGGATGACTTTCTCATTTATGAGCCATTCTTTTAAGTTTTGCATATGGAAATAAAACAACATGGTAGGTAGTTTTAAATGACTTTATTGTTTTTCGAAGTATTCTCCACGAAGATTAATACACATCTGCATGCGCTCGAACCAATTTTCGAAGCACTTATTCCACTCGTTTTCTGGCAGATCCAAAACGGCATTTTTGAATGCGTCAACTGCTTCTTCTGGTGACTGGAACTTTTGACCACGCAGTCTGTTTTTAATTTTCGGGAAAGTAAAGAAATCGTTAAGACTTAGATCGGGACTATATGGAGGATGGTCCAATAATTCTACGTTTTCTTCCGTTAAATACTGCCTTGTTTTTTGGATTGTGTGCGAGCTTGCATTGTCTTGGTGGAGGATGATTCTTCTTTCGAGGTTGATTTTTCGGTGATGACTTTCAGCAAACAAATGGTGGTATACCAATCCGCAGTAACAGTTCTTTGCTCATTAATTGAGGTCTTTGAGATCTTCAAGGACGCCTCAATCTCGCGATATGTCACATGTATATCTTCAATGATGAGTTTGCGCACAGCATCGACGTTTTCCTGGGTGACCGCCGTTGTTGGTGCACCCACCCTGGGATCGTCGCTAAGACTCACCCGTCCACGTTTGAATTATCCATACCAACGGGAAATTGTCGACTGATGTGGCGCTTCGTTGCCGAAAACAGACAGTAACTCAGCAAGGTATTCTTTTTGCGATAACACTGATCAACAGCCAAAAAATATCCTAAATAAAATCAACAAAATATTACTATTTCTAATGTGCTAAAACCGGAATGAAACTTATTTTTTCAATATTAGTTCAAGTTTTAGAGATACGGTAATTATATGTGTTCCTGCTGTGACAGTGTTAATATACTGTAATTCATAAGAATGCACGTGCTACATTTTTATATTCGGCAAGGAAAGATGATGTAATCGGCATGATTGTGTTACGTTATACATACGTGTACATTATATTGTTTTATATTAGCCATTTCTTCCTCAGTTGGCTGACAGCGTTCATGCAAGATGTCTCGAAAGTGTGTAAACAATCCAGATCAGTTTTGTTACGTGTGTGGTGATGTGACTTTTGCGTCTCAGAGACGGTCTATTACTCCACTAATAACAAAGGCATATCAGCTTTATTTCGGTTGTAAACTAGGTGATCAAGACAAACAGTGGCCACCCCACATCTGCTGTAATACATGTGCTTCAAGTCTGAGGAGCTGGTTAAATGGCAAAAAACGGTCTATGCGCTTTGCTGTCCCAATGGTTTGGAGAGAGCCTACAAATCATATTAATGATTGTTACTTTTGCATGGTACCTTGTGTTGGACAAGCCACAGATATGTCCAAGAAAAAAAAATCGGTTATTAACTACCCAAACATACCATCTGCGATGAGACCTGTGCCTCACAGTGACGAAAATCCTATTCCAAAAGCCCCAAAATCCTACACTTGCGAATCAGAAAACGACTCAGATCATGGCGATCGAGTGACTCGTCAGGAAGAAGATATGCCATCAACCTCAAGAGATCCTGATTTTATACCGAGCACGTCATGCCACCAACCGCACAAAATATCACAGTCAGAATTAAATGATCTTGTAAGAGATTTAGAACTTCCAAAATGTAAGGCAGAGTTACTTGGATCAAGACTGCAGCAGTGGAACTTGTTAGAAGACGATGTTTCGGTATGTGTTTTTCGTAAACGCCACAAAGACTTAGAACCATTTTTCAATATGGAGAATAACTTGGCTTTCTGCAGTAACATTAACGGCTTACTGGCGGCTTTAAATATAAACTATAACCCAGAAGAATGGAGATTGTTTATAGACAGTTCAACATTGAGTTTAAAGGCAGTGTTATTGCATATTGGAAATATTTTACCATCTCTTCCTGTAGGGTATGCAGTTCACATGAAAGAATCATATGACAATATGAAGTACCTATTGACATGTATAAAATACGATGAGCACCAGTGGCATATTTGTGGCGATTTGAAAGTTGTTGCACTTTTACTTGGGCTGCAGCTAGGCTACACAAAGTTTTGCTGTTTTTTGTGTGAATGGGACAGTCGGGCAAAGGCACTTCATTACACCAGACAAAACTGGCCTGTTCGTCAATTCCTAGAGCCAGGTCAAAAAAATGTACAGCATATATCATTAGTAGATTCGAAAAAAATTTCATTACCACCACTGCATATCAAGTTGGGCCTAATGAAAAACTTTGTAAAGGCATTAGATAGAGATGGGTCAGCTTTTCAATACCTGCGTCAGAAATTTCCAAGACTAAGTGAGGCAAAGGTTAAAGAAGGTATTTTTGTTGGGCCACAGATTTGAAATATTTTGAAAGATACACAGTTTGAAAACACTTTAACAGGTATTGAAAAAACTGCTTGGAATGATTTCCGTCTGGTGGTCACTAATTTCTTGAGAAATAGAAAAGCTGACAACTATAAAACCCTTGTCAAAAATATGCTGTCATCGTATCAAAATATGGGCTGTAATATGTCTCGTAAGATACATTTCCTACACTCACACCTGGGCTTTTTCCCTGACAATTGCGGAGCCGTAAGTGATGAGCACGGCGAACGTTTTCATCAGGATATTTCAACAATGGAAAAAGGTACCAGGGAAAGTGGAATCCTTCCATGCTTGCAGACTACTGTTGGACTCTTGGTAGAGATGCTCCAGAAACGATCCATAAAAGAACAGCAAAAAGACGGCGCATATAGTGATTCTTAAAGTATATGAATCTTGTTACTTTTTTTAATATATCCTTAAAAATAATTTTTTTTTTCTAAACCGCAACTAATTTTTTTATTTCATTGTCATTTTTGGATTCAGCGCCCCAAAATTAACAAAGAAGTGCACTTTTCCCACAAGATACAATTAAAAAACTAAAATTTGTTGTCCAGTGAATTGTCTCTGAAAGTTGTAATAAATTATGGCGCGAAAATGTTCTCGGTTGAGTTCCATTTTTTCAGTACTGACGTTCGTTCCGCGCGGCCTACTATGTTTCTATATGCAAAACTTAAAAGACATCCCTCGTATTACGAATGTATCATTGAACATTGACGATACCCGGCAGCATATTGTTCTGAAAGCTTTGGATCATCTCAATAATGCTGTTGTGGTACACCCTACATGTAGTCTGGTAAAGACTGATTTCGGTATCAGTCCGTCCTGCGTAAAAAGTCATAGTCGCCTCTTTATGTGCTCAAACCAATCTTACAGAGACATTAAATTTTCAAAATCTGCCCTTTCATCTCGAGGAAAGCTCAAAGGTTTTCACTAAATTGCCAATTTAATAATAGTAGGAGTACTAAAACCAGTATCAAAATATGAAGGGGTTATCAATTTCTATTGAGTTATTACATTTTCGATTTTTACAGATATTTAACAGATATTTAAACAAGCAAGATATTTCAGATTTATTACATACCTATATGTACTGTGATATTTTTTAAACGCTGGGTAGCTGAACAAGCTGCTGATTATATGGGCTTTTGCTTTAACGGAGTATGAAAGGTCAACTTTGAAATTCATGAGAACATACATGAGAAGACACTTTTTTCGATTGCCGCAAGAGGGGACCTTATATTGTTATATAGGTAACTTTAACCTGACAGCGCTTAGTATAGCACAGTAAAATTTATAGTTCCATTATTTGATGTATGCATACACATATCTAATATTTTGAGTTTGTGCAATGTTTTTCGTTGTGACATGGTTTTTACAAGATTTCATTCAGTAGATGTAGATATGTATGTGTGGGACTGAATTTTGAACTAATTAACATAAATAAATTTAGCTGAAATTGCCTCCATATTGAATAAAATATAGCGGATGTTACAAAATGGCGACTCATCATTTCCATATTAACCCCTATGACATGGGTATCAAATGAAAGGGCTGGATGAGATAATCACAATAAAAAAGTGACGTGATTCTAAACACAATATGCCTATCGCTGCAAAATGCCGATTTACACATTTTATTATCACTTCTACGACATGAGTATCAAATGCAAGGGTTTGATGAGGGAAACACAAAGAGTAGAGTGATCTCATTCTAAATCTAATATGCCTTCGATACTCACGGCGAGAAGTCTCGGCGAGAAGATTCGCCGAGACTTCTCGCGAACAACGGCTATGTCCACATTCACACTGAATCTCACTTCTGTTCTCGTCTTTATACGGTATGGACGACAGTGCAGCGGCTTTGATGGTATCTGCGTTGGCGTACTATAACCTTGTAAATATAACCATTAGGAATAGAATTAATAAGAAAAGGCCCAGACGTTGGTGGATGACGCAAATTCATCTAAGCAGAACAAGGGTTGAGAATTTTAGTTTTTTTTAAATTCTGGTTTATTTTTTTATTAAAAATTATCATAATACACATTATATAGTAGAGTAAATGTACAGGTATTTTCCATTTCAGCTTAAGCATGCAAAGTCAGTTGGGAGAACTTATTGCTGAACCAAGTGGAGAATTTAAGAACTTCACGCGAATGTCAACTACGGACTTTGAATTTTTGCTCAACAAGATTTCTCCTCTAATTAGCAAAAAAGATACACAACTTCGAAAAGCCGTACCAACCCGAATGCGTCTTGCTATAACATTGAGATACTTGGCCACGGGAGATAGCTTTCAAAGCCTTCATTTTTTATTCAAAGTGTCACCGCAATTGATTTCAACAATTGTTCCCGAAGTATGTAAAGCACTGAATCAAGTATTGAGAAAAGAAATATAGGTGAGTTTTGAACAACATATTTATTAACTAAGCATTATTAAAGACATTACAAATAACATCAGAACGATAGGTACTTCTCAATAGGTCGTCCGAAATAATGTGTATGTTTGAGCTACTTTGTGCATCTGCATTTTGCAAGACATTAACTTGTGGTGATTCAGAATACATTTGAATTGTATATTGTTCTTCGGATGGTGTCTGAATTTGTAGTGGTTTAGAACACACTAGGAGTGTATGTTCTACTTCTGATGTATGAATCTCCGGCGGTGCGGAATCTATCATACGGACATTTTGTATAGAAGCCATTTTGTGTTGCAGAGGTTCAGAGTAGCAAGATATACCAGGGGAAGGGGAAGATATAGCAGATGAAGATCGAGTGTATTCTGAAGATGGATTAAATACTGTGTTTGTGAACCTGTTTGGTTGCTTTGTTTGTCGACGATTGAGAATTATGCCATCGAACTCATACATGATTTCTAGTCGTTCTTCTTCAGAGAAAGCTCTTAATTTTTCGGCTAACCCCATGCCATATATTTCACAGTCATCCGGGGGTTCTTGAAACTCCCTTCTTTTAACACTTTCTTGAAACAAACTCAGTGCCTCCTTCACATGCCTTCCGGCCTCTTTTACCTCGCACTGAAGGGAACGAGAACGACCAGTTCGAGGTGTTGTTATTTCATTTTTGGTTTCTCCTGGTTTATTCATTATTTCCTCTTCTGAAATAATTGTACTTGTGCCTGGCTGTTCATCCTGAAAATAAAAGAAAAGCATTAGTATAAACAAATTATTTATTCCTTTTCAGATTCCGCTGAAGAATGGCTGGAAATCGAAAAAGGATTCAGCTCAAAATTTCCTACAGCCATTGGTGCAATAGATGGCAAACATATTGTTCTGACGTGTCCACAAAAGGCTCGGAGTACTTCAACTACAAGAAAAGTTTCAGTATTGTGCTCATGGCATTAGTCGATAGCAAATATAACTTTATTTTTGCTGATATTGGTGGTCAGGGAAAAATAAGTGATGGTGGAATTTTCCGACATACTTTGTTGTGGGAGATGATTTGCTAGCAACACTTTGAATTTACCAGCGTCACATCCACTACCAGGTTCAAATGTTGATATACCTTACGTATTTTTGAGTGACGGTGCATTTGCACTGCGCCCGAATATCATGAAACCTTATCCTGGTAACCATGACAGGGATAGCCCTGAACGCATGTTTAATAAAAAACTATCTGGATCACGCGTAGTCGTAGAGAATACATTTGGAATATTGTCACCAAAGTTTCGAATATTTAAAAGGCCAATTGAGCTGTGCCCCGAGAAAGCTTCTGTTATCACCATGACTTGTATATTATTACATAATTATTTAATAAAAAGCAATACTTCATCACAAATGTATTCCCCACAAGGTACTGTTGATGTTTACGATGATAACGGTACTCTTATTCAGCCTGGGACATGGCGTATAGATAATTCAAGCACTAATGCTATTCAAAATATACCACCAATAGCACGCCGAGCAGCTGCCAACGCAAGGCAAGTACGAGATGAGTTCAAAAATTATTTTTCCAATGTAAATTGAGAAAAAGCTATAATTTTTCAATTTACATATTTTTACTGTACAATAGGTACTAAAATGTTTATTGAAATAAATGAAAAGTTCTTACCCTTGATTGCGTATTTATTGTTATCTTCGGAGTAAGTCCATCACTCAGAAATCCATCCAAAGCCTCATATGCAAACCATACTGGTTTGTATAATTCATTTTCCCCAGCACCCAATTGGTAGGAATCTTTAACCATCTTTCTGTATTTCCGATAACTTGCAAAAAGAGATTCCTTCTTCTTCTTGAGATCTGGTATTGGTAGGTCCACCAATTGTGCAATTCTACCCCACGCGTCGTGATTTAGATTCTTGTTTTTGTAATTTCGGTGTTTTGTGTCCCATAATATGGGCTCTGCTTGAAAAAACTCTATAAACTTCAATTCTAGGTCATTGTCCCACATTTTCTATTTTAAAAAGTTCACGAAATAAAACAAAAATACTTCCACTAACGTCGCAAGAATAACGTTGGTCGCACGTCGCACTGAGAACGGAGAGTGTGGATAGCGTCCTTTTTCTCGCCCGAGAAAGCCTTTGTCTCTTGTCAAAAATACCGACACCGATCTGAAAACAGGCGAGCGCGAGAACGAGATGGCGAGACACCATTCACACTCACGCTTCTCGGGTGTTCCCGGGGCTTCTCGCCGTGAGTCTGGAGCGGCCTTAATATGACGGCCACCGCAACATGGCGATTTACATTTTCTCCGTCACTCCTATGTTATCGGTACCACATGATGAAGCGTGATGGAGGAAACGCAATATGCATAGAGACGTCATTCTTAATCCAACATGGCGGCCGCCACAAAATGGCGATTTATATTTTCACAGTCACCCCTATGACATGAGCATCAAATAAAAGAGCTTGATGAGGAAAACGCAATAAGCAAAGTGAAGTGACTCTAAATCCAATATGTCGACCGCCCTCAAGATGGCGTTTATAATGATCATAGTCCCCCCCTATGATAAAGGGCTTTATGAGAGAAGCATCAGGCAACACGATATCATTCTAAATCCAATATGGCGGTTACCGCGAAATGGCGATTTATAATTTCCATAGTCACCCCCGGGGAATATGGGTATCAAATTTAAGGGCTTGATGAGGGAAACATAATAAGCAGAGACGTCATACTAGACCAATATGGCGGTCGCCGCAGAATGACGATTTATAATTTCTATGGTCACCGCTATGATATGTGTATCGGATGAAAGGGCTTATGAGAGAAACACGATAAGCAAATAACGTCATATTAAATTCCATCTGGCGGTCGCCGCAGAATATCAATTATCATTATATCTATCTACTGAACAAATGAAGCTCTTTCATCTCAAGTTTTCAAATAACAGCGTGTTACATTTTGATAGCAGGATGGAAAAAGGGCGTAACACGCGTTTATTTGAGGACTTGATTATCGTTTAAATACTTCCAATCGGAAAAACATGTATAAATGTTTAATTCATTTTATGAACAGCAAGATAAAAGTTTGTTTTAAGATTTATTTTTTATTTGATTTATTTTTTGTGATGTACACGTTGCCTAACATCAAAACATATATTACGATATTTTCTTGCTAATTGTCATTTGAGGTACAAATGACTGTAAGTTCTGAATAAAGGTCCTTGATTACCAAACAGGCAGGCAGAAGTGCAAATGAGATACCTCTATGGGTCTAACAACAATGAAATCACCGCTTATTGCGCTTGGAAGTAACAGTTCACAGCTCATGAGATGGGCGATATCGTTATTTTTGAATATCTGTGACGACTGTTACCAGTACTACACGATTTTTCAAATAACGATGGGTATGTTCCGCTGATCCGTCGGATCGTAGGGGTCGGATCGTACAGTAACCGATGCAGGT